CATGGGATGGGGGGGGGGGCGTGGGGTGGGATCAGATGGGGGGGCATGGGGTGGGATGGGATTGGGGGGCGTGGGGTGGGGTGTGTGTGGGGTGGGGATGGAATGGGGGGGGCGTCACTCAAAAACCATCAACCCAAACACCACCACGCCACACGCGGCTGCACAACAAAAAATACTCACAGCTGGCACAACACGCGTGTTTACTCCGCGGCCGCGGTGATGCGTTATTATCATCATCATCTCGTTCGCGACGCTTACGAAAAAAAAACTACGAATTAATTTCGAACACCGTGACATTATTTTGTTTGAGTCGTCTGCGGGGCACGGTAGTCAGTGTTTCCTCACCACCCCCCCTGCCCTTCACCCCACCTCTTTCCCTCTGCCATTCCTGAGCGTGCGAGGAGGGTGTGTTTGAAATAGTTTGAGCGAGGGCAGCCCGAGGGCGCTTGGAGAGTGCAGGGGCAAGCGGTGCATACCGAGCACACGTTGAGCCCCCCCCCCCCCTGAACGAAGCGTCTGTCAACGAGGAGGTGGTGGGGGGGGGGCACCGAATTGGCCAGTGCGCAAGCAATGCAAGCGCGCATTGTTGCAAGCCGCCAAATATGGGCCACACAGCTGCTGCTGCTGCAACACAAGGTCCTCATGTGGGGGTCACTTATTGGCCACACGTGTCCCTATATACAGTGCCTCGGTGAGGGTGCTAAACAATGCACTGAGAACACTACACCACCAAGTGGTGAATGTGCAAAAGGCGTGCGTCCTTCACCTTGCTGAACTATGTACGGATTAGACAGAAATAATTTGGTGATGTTGCGTTGGCAGCGGTCAACAAGGAACAAAAACTAACCTTCTCACATTGCGTTGTGCTGGCATTTTTTTTCATACATGTACTTTTACTTTTGAAAGAAATTCGTTCGTGTCGCAATGCGTTTTTTTTTACTGAAAGGTTTGTCTGGGCGTCAATAGCTAATATTAGGTAACAATTCATGTTCCAACTTAAAAACTGGTTATCAGAAAAAAATCACATCAAATTTTCATCAGGCACCATGTTGCTGTGCGATCTCCAACCCACAAACTATGATCTACCTCGCCTCATATGTGCTATGCATAATTATTGCCCAAAATGTCACTGATTACGTGTTGAGTTTTATTACATGAATAGAAAAAGGTGTTTATTCTCCAGTTCTGCTGCTCGCGTGAGAGTATTATCACTGTGTAACAATTTTTTTGGTTTCTATTTAAAGCTTTCGTGACTGCAGGGATTCATCTTCTTGGTTCTTTCGGTAAAGTCACGTAGAAGGGAAATAATAAAATAATAAAACTATAAAAATTAAACTATAAAAATAAAACATAATAAAGTATATTATATTATTTTATAAAAAATAAAACATAATAAAATATATTATATTATAATGTTTTAGTTTTATTATTTTATTATTTCCCTTCTACGTGACTTTACCGAAAGAACCAAGAAGATGAATTGTTTTAGGTGTCCCTGGGTAGTAAGTGTTATTTCCTAATTTCTGCACTCAAAACTGCTCTTGAGGAGCTGGGCATCCCCGCCGCCACTGCTATACAGAGTGGCTTTAAATCAAATGCCCTGCTCCTGGATGTCCGCTGCAAAGTATGATTTAGAGTTTCGATTATAGTGTGCTGATCTTTAAAGGTGCATTGAAAATTTTTGATACTCCTACTGATACTCCTGCTGTTATGGAGTGACTCATGATGCCAGCTATGGCTGCAAAGTTTGGTCGTACATGTTACTGTGTATATCGTTTATTGTTAAATTTGAATCACAGTTCCTATGATCACTGTTACATTGTTCCCTCACGTTTTTGTTTTGTTTAAAAAATAAAAGTCACAAGTACATAAGGAAAATGGTTTCAACATTTCAACAACCCAGTTTTAACTGCTCATCATATTTATTTCATAGCGGATGATGCCCTTATGGACACCCGACGTTTTCTAAATGGCAGTGTGGTCAGAAATATTGACGGCGGCTGAGGTTGTATCTGAAGTTGTGTTTCATCATCCCACATCAAACGCTACAGGGCACTGACAATGCTTGCCTTTTAAACCGCACACTGTACAAACAGGCATGGCTGGATGGCCTAGTGATGAAGTGATTAATGCACTTGCCACTGATAGTGTACAGTACAAGGTTACATTGGGTTAAATCCGACCACTGCTTCTCATGGATACAACTAAAACACTCACGGTTGGCAAGTTAATTGCAATGCTACCGGTGTAGGCTTTTGCAGCTGTGCTGTGTCGCTCTCCGAAGTGGTTTTGCAGTTGTGTCTCTTTTTTTCTCCGGAATTCAATTCACTTCTTATAGCAGCTCCCATTGCATGGAGCGTTTAAACGTCAGACGAACAACACGGATGATTAATGTCATTGTTGAATAGAATGGAATTGATGATGGTGACAACTTAAAGTGGACTGTCGCCAACAGTGGGGAGTTGGTAATGGATGTACAATGCTCTCAATATTGACATGCAACTTTCCCAATGACAAGAATGAATTACTGTAATGTTGTTTGACTAAAATCCCACTGGGATTTTTGCACGCAGCGTTGGTGTACGGTGCCTTTTCTGAACATGTTGCCGTCTTTTCCTGGATTTTCTGTTTCCACATAGTCACATAGTCACTTTAAGATGTTTTCTTGTTCATGTTTTTGTTTTTGGTTTGTTGCGGTTGCACCCGATTCAAGAGCCGAATGGCTCACAGGGCTCTACCAAATAAATGAAAAACTGAAACAAAGTAACGTGTCTGCATATTTTAAGGTTCCAAAAACGTCTCTGTAAGGGAAGTCTGAATATTTTGGCTTCCTTATTGTGCATTACATTTGACAACGCTAAATCTCCCTGTGTTCGTCAACTCCCAATATTAAAACCAATCGAACAGTCAGCATGCATTTTTTGGCTTAAAACTCGAGTGGATTGAATCCACTGGAAATGCTTGTAGGCACCTAAACATACTCATAAACAAATCAGTGGCATAGCTCTCGAGTGTACAGGCGGTGCAACTGCACCAGGGCCCATGGGCTAGAGGGGTCCAGGCATTGGTCTACATGGGCGTCGGAACTGGATTGGGGGGCCCCATCTCATTCCTTGCGCCAGGGTCCATGCCAACCACACCTACAACCACTGATGCCAGGGCACATTCTGTTTCTGCTCAGCAATGTGCACGTTTTTTTTTACTTTGGAACCTGCACATTTCAGTACGACTTTTTCAGTACGAGCCAACAAATGCTGCCTCGTAATAAAAACCTTACCTATAGCCTTGTCGTAAAGCAACAGCAGGCCCTTGCTAACAAGCAGGAGGTTCACGAAGAACTTCTGCCAAGTTGTTCCCAGGAGGCTGACATCCCGAGTCCTCTCTTCCAGCACTCGTGCTCCGATTAGCACGGTTGGCTACGTACGGTGCGAAAAAAGTTCAACATGCATAAAGCTGCTGTGTGGAGTATTTATCTTCCTGAGGGCGGCATAGGGCTTTCATATACCTTTGGCGCACCACTACACTTGCAGTGATAAGTGACTTAGCGCGCAAAAATGAGAACACTTTTACCAGGTCAAAACTATTTGAGTCTAATGCTTTATTGGTATGGCTAATATGCTTGCGGTGACAGATAAATATTGTTGGCGGTGCGTTTCTAAGTGGTAGATAGGTCGAATGTGGCTGCAGGGCAGACACAATTCAGTCACGGCCCGTGGGTTTCCCGTTTCCCAGCCCCTGACCAACACAATGAGATTTTAAATGAATCCCAATGCCATTTTGATAAACAAATAATTCATGCATCTGATGACCTTGGATGCCACTTTCTCTACCCATGGCAAACGGTTTGGGTGGAATAGGACTTTACGTTTACCAGGGTGGTGTAAAACCTGTCAATGTTTTTTCGAAAATCCAATATGTACGTGCAGTCCACTTGAATGAAAAGGCCTCCTCCTTGCACCGTGTCGGGCATCGGGGTTGTTTAACCACACTTCACCACGCTGGTCAGTGCCGGTTGGTGAAGCGAGGGTGGATGAGGCTTTGGACCAGTTTCGGCATCACTCGCCACTGATGCCAATTCAGTATGGGGGGGGGGAGGGGATCTTAATTTTCCTTCTACAACTTTGCATCACGATGCAACGCACTACATATTGAGTCAGTGTGTAAATGCGGGACCTATTGCAACATTGGGTCATTTCAAGTTATTGCGGCTTGTCCTAATGACTTAACCGAGGGGTCAGCAATTCGGTAAAACGCTCCATATTTCAAGAGCGGCAATGCGTCTGAATACGAGACGGTCCTCAATAAATAACGTCACGAAGCAGCCCTTAAAGGGCCGCATGCGGCTCCGAAGCAGCAGGTTGCCAATCCCTGACTTAACCAAACCGTGTTAAAACAGCACCGACGATGGAGGAGGTGATTGGATGACAGTTTTGGAAGCGCAGAGCCGTGGGCCGCCAAGATTCTGAATCCGAATTGGGGCAGCCGCCAGTAGTAGAAATGGGCCGGAACGTCGTGATGGGAGTGAACATTTTGAACCAGACTGCGTTCTGGTAGGAATCATTCACTTTTTAAAATGTATTTGACTCCCAACTATACCCCTTGACTAACAGAGACCCACAGACACGCTCAGACACCCACAGACACCCACAGATACCCACAGACACGCACAGACGCCCACAGGTCTAGTGCTGGGGGAAAAATAATGTATGAATTTGAATTAAGTTTTCCCATTTCCATCCCTGGCAAGTCACCTCCTGTTGATGGTCTCAAGCCACATCACTAATCACTGCACACAAAACCCCATAATGCAGTCGACGCTGGATATCTTGATATTATCACGACTTAAACAAGCATAGCTCTTGATTTAAAGATTTTGTGACTGCAGGGATTCATATTCTTAATATTAATATATTAATATTATTGTATTATTTCCCTTCTACGTGACTTTACCGAAAGAACCAAGAATAAGCATAGCTCTGGTATAAACAACTAATTATGTCATTACGCTGGTGGGGAGGAAGGTGACGGGCAACATGTTGCGAGCACACTTCAGATTGGACCTATACTTGTTCCCAAGGGGTGTGCTTATATCCAGCTCATACCATGTTTAATTATGGTTTGGACTTGATTTGCCTAAATTCCAGGTCAAATATATAAAAAAAACATTCTGTACAGTACCATATGTATGATTTTTCAGTTCTGTGAAAAAAATCTATTCGGTGGGATGTTTATTATCAGATCGACCGCACGCTGAGATTTTCGAATGGATTTCTTCATATCACGACATGTCAATATCATGATAGCAATTGCAGGGTAAAGACAAATCATTGACCACCAGCAAGGAACCATGAGATTTAAGATTAATTCTCTTTATTTTTTCGATCTCAAAAAACATTAACAATGTAGAGGTGGCACAGCTTGAGATTCAAGTGTTCAACCACATTAAATGCATTTGCAACTAAAAAAACACTTTTTCAAATCGCAAATACAGAACCTGGCAGGACTGTCAAGGCCAATTTAGGGCTTGTAGGGGTTTCCAATAACACATCCGGTGCAGCAAAAGTCAGAAATCATACTGATTTTAGAATCATCCTGTGTATGTAACGTCTGAGCGCGCACGACGATCAATGTGGACATGTTGAGGAATGTTAAAGCATCCAGTATGAACCACATTTAGACACTTTGTGTCCAAGCAAAACGTTACAGAGTTCGTGAATTTACCATACAAACGTATGGTTCCCGATTTGTTGTCTTAATATCCAAGTGTTCAAAACAACATTTCAAACGGAGTGCCCATTTATTTAATAGGCAAAATTCTGACTGGTTTTAGCCCCAGCGGCTTGGAGTTGCACATCAACAAATTCAACACAATGTGGGGCAACGCGTGTACATAATGGTCAATTACATATTTTTATGAGTGCCCACATCTATCGTGACTGAGAGCTGATCGTACCCAAATAATTACACTGCGTTCACATCAAAGTACGTGTACACTTGCTCAAAACAAATAAACTGCACATGGCTGAAAAGTCAAAAAATTATGTTTTGGTGCCAAACATAAAATATGCATAATTTAAGGACTTAATATTCGTCATTGCAATTTCTTTTCAAACTTACCGAATGATAAATATATTACCAATATGTTACGCAATGACCTGCATCGGAATTGCTCTAATAAAGTCTACCAATATTTTTTTTTCTAAATGTAAATAGTTCAACACATAACAGGGATAGGGACTTTTGAGGCCAACACTGATGCAGACAATAACAGAATTAATAACAGAAACATTAAACAATGATTACTGGGTACATTTTCTGTTCTTAAATCAAACAATTATAACTGCTACAAGGCAACATCTGGACAGTCAAAATATATATTTGCCTAGTCATTACACGGTAATTCATAGGCATCGTTCGAAGTGTGAATTTGCAGACGCATGTGATGAAGGTAACGAAGCACACGAAATGCAAGCCCCATCAATTCTGCATCATAATTGCAGGTTATCACCCGCCAATTGCTGCATCAATGTGTTTTTACCAAACAAAGATTTCACAAGTTAAAATTATAGTAGGCCAACACATTTTTAGAAATATATTACCTGTGCATTGGCACTATGGGGACCTCATTTGCCAGTAAAAATATGATAATTGGTTTTGTTGCCAGATAGAAGGGTAAAGAACCAATTATCATGTGCATTGGCAGTTAATATCTTCAATAGTGTTTGGTCAAATTATCTTTCAACAGGTGTGAATTTGTGTGGTAAAATTCCCGAGTGCAACGATTCACACGCACTCCCCCCCATGGGAATCTGAAGGTCGTTTTTTAACCCACTTCTCGTGATCCAATCGAGCTGACATTTTCCACACAGACTCGTTGTGCGTGACAATTAATGTTCGTGAATTTTTTTTTCCAAATTTTACACTTTTTAGGACAAAAATATTATATTTAATTACCAATTGCTTAATGGTGCAAAGCAATCATCTGACCCATAGGTGGCAGCCATCTCAAGCCAGAGGACGAGAGGACTCTAGCCGCCACGCATATAAAGGATTTATAGTGAAAAACTTTGGGGTCACGTGAATCCATTGTATACAACACATACCGATTAAAATAGTGTATCGTGAGCTTAACACTCAACATTAATCAACTAATCGATGCATCGTTATACCCCAAGTAAACACATTGTACCAGTTATCCAATGCATACAAATGGAAAGCTAATATTTGAATACTTATTTATCCAGGAAAGCCACCGAGTCATAGGACTCATTTTCAGGAGGGTCCTGCATTGTTTTTTTAATGTAAGAGGTTTTCAACCAATGAATGTTCATACACGTGGGAGTAAACCAGAGCACTCGGAGAAACCCCACTTGTGCGAGGGGGAAACACTATCTACGTAGAGATGAAACAAATGGAGAATAGTCCACTTGCTTTACTGCCTCCAGGGTACGACACCTCAATGCCCACAGAAAAGGAGTTTCATAACATGCGAGCGATCCACCAACACTTGCCTCCACAGTGCTGGATTACAGGAGTGCATAGCCACCACCCAATTAAAATGTTTAATTTTCTTTGAAATGGGTACTGAAAGTTAAGGTGAAACTATTACTGTAAAAAGGTAAAGGTGCAGGGCTGCCATTGCTTTCTCACGCCACTCTAGGGGATATATCGATCTCCTCTCAAGGGATCTCTGCAGATAATCTCTTATTTTGAAATCCTTTATATTAAGTTCGCTTGCTTGCTTAGGACCGTGCAAATCTTTCGGTAATTTTTTAACCCACTTCCCGTGATCCAATCGAGCTGACATTTTGCACACAGACTCGTTGTGCGTGACAATGCATTTTCGTGAAAAAATGTTTCCAAAATTTTACACTGTTTAGGGAATTAAAAAAAATATTTAATTACCAATTGTTTAATGCTGCCAGACAATCTTCTGACCCATAGGTGGCAGCCATCTCAAGCCAGAGGACGAGAGGACTCTAGTCGCCACGCATATAAAGGATTTATAGTGAAAAACTTTGTTTTTACGGGTTATACTTGTGTCTACTCTTCCATGCTGGCTGGACATTTTAGAGGAGGTGGAGATACCCACACTTTAACCAACCGCACTCGACCTGTCTGTCGGTGGACAAAGGTGGAACGATTTAAAACAATGTTTCCATTGCTTCAACTGCCATGCTGGGAGACCAGATGTGTGCTCACGATTACACCACAGCAGCATTCAGAATATTACCGTAAATAATAATTCAGTAAAATACTCAAGATTCAGAAAGCTGGCTCCATCGGCATCAAGATTTGTGAAAGGAGATGAGGGCCCTCTATTCGGAGGTCATTAAGATGATGGTGACCGACCGCTGTGGAAATTGGAACAGGTGAACATAATTCAATGAAGCTCAACGCCCCCTGTTGAATAGACGCTGTGGTGATTCGATGCTTGGCCCACACAACAGCACCAGCCTCTGGTTGCTAAGTCACACTCCTAAAACAGAACTCGTTTCACTCTTCTCATTCATATAATCTCCAGGAAAACTAAACTTTTCAAGAATTTGGTTTATATATGTTTGAGTCCAATTTAGAAGGTTTGCATGTCGTTGTAATAATTCTCCATGGCTTTCAATGGAATTCAGGTGACTAACAAGTGAACTAAAACTAAACTATTATTTTTTATCTTACCAGGTAAGGCCCACTGAGTTAAATAGCTCTTTTTCAGCTCAACGAAGTGGCTCATCACGTAGAATTTTGAAGGAGCCAAATACTCTAAAAGCATGTCTCTAAATGTGGAGAGAAAAAACAGAAGACTCGGGAGAAAAAACCCATGCGACCACGGGGAGAACATGCAAACTCCAAATATACAGCAGCAGGCATCAGGATCGGGAACCAACCCACGACCTCCTGTATACCAGCTGAGGTAGTTAACATCTCGCCACCGTGGCGCCCCTAATAACACTGATGGCTTGGTATTCGTTTTTGCGATGTCCACTATGAACAAGAGTTTTAATTGCATTGCATTTAAAACCGTGAGCGAGTCTCTGCCCATTGACATCCGTTACATTTAACTGTTACAGAATATTAACAATAATAATGTACAGTCCTTTGTCAACCTACTGTTGAAAAAGGTCCTCCCCATGCATTTTGGTCATGGAAGTTTTTTTAACCATACTTCACCACGCCGGTCAGTGCAGTTTGAAGGGAGGGAGTTTGGCGTGGGACAGGATTGGTTCAAATATCCCTCGCCACCGCTGTGCACTCAGGTTTCCAAGTTCTGTGAAGTATGCTAATCACTGTACTACCACTACACAGGAAATATTTTGATAACAAAAAATACTTCTGTGAATATCAAGGTATTTGTAATTGCAATGTTTGTCTCGGCTATCATCAACATCATCGTCGATCTGGGGTGAGTGCAATACACGCCACCTGGAGTCCGGCGCTAACTACCCATTGGGAAGCCTACAGTGGGTATTCTACGATTCCTGCCATGTATATATGGAATTTCAAACACTGGTTCAAGATCTCCAATAGAGACAGAGTACAGCCACATGCCTATTTGCACAGGGGCCAATCATAAATTCATAACTCAATTATTTAAAATCAGCACACTGAATCAACTGCAATCTCTGCAGTTATGTAATGTCTCACTCTCTTAACAATCAAGGACACATCTGGTAATGCCACACAAGCATTTGCAATGACATATTAACCCATGCTCCCCAGTGTTTGCTTCGAAAGAAACATAAAACCAATTACAGTTGTTTGACTATGAATACATGAATTAAATGTGAAAGCCTCACATGTCGATATATAACCATATCCAAGTGTGAGGCACAAGCTAATTGGAAATACACTGCTGTATGATCACATGACTCTAATGCAAAGTTCCTGCTGCACATCACTGCTGTACATTACCAACGGTAAAGCAAATCCACAGGTTGTGGCCTAAAACGATATTGAATTACGGCACCAGATATTATTTAAAACTATACCAAGCACACAGCTAACATCGACATTCATAATCAACAATCACGTGCTGTAATACAATTAACTTGATCAGTGACCGTTAAAGGATTCGAGCAAACCGTTAATTTTGCTCTGACTCAATAACAACGCCAATACTTTTGTTTTCTCTGAGGGCACCTGTAGTGAGGCCAACAGCTAAGTCCACCTGACCAAGTCACGCTCGCAGCCATCATGTGGGGCGAGTGGCGAATGAAAACACGAGCTGTGGCAACCTGCCATGGCTTCAACGAAACAACTGCTCATTCCTGAGCTTGTAGCCCTCGGCGGCAGCAAACAGCGAAAGCTACCGGGCAACGCAAGTCGCAAGCTTCATGTACACAAGGCCGCTAGTAGCACACGTGCAGTCACAAGAGTGCGACCCAACGATCACGGCCACACTTGGCGGTTCACAAACTCACGTTCACGATTCGTAAAACTGCAACAGTATTTGGGGAAGACCAATTTAAATTTCTTGTTGTTTCTGGGCAATTTCTCTACACAAAAGCTGCTCATACAAGGAGCTCCACGGAAAGAGCAGAGCTGGGGCCCAGCCACGCAGGAAGCTACGTTTCTGTCCCAGTGTTCTATTTCCGTCGCCGGCTGACTGTGGTGGTCGTGGTGGTGGCCGTCTGCATAGCAGTGGCCGCCCGGCGCTCCGCTTGGGAGAAGTCGACGGGAAGGGAAGCGGCACTGCTCCTCGCGGTGTCGCTGGCGTTGAGCTCCCCTCGTTCCTGCTTCCTCAGAGTCTCTTCGTGCTGCGCCCGGATCTCCTGGCATTTCATTTTCACGTCCCTTTGAGTGAAGAAGAATAAAGGACCAGTACTCAATACCATCACCATTGTCATTGAATGCGTGACATATCCTGCCACTTTCTGTCCATTAATGCCGACTGTTTATTCCACCAAATGTAGCTTTCCTTTTTTCGTCTTCTTGGTTCTTTCGGTAAAGTCACGTAGAATGGAAATAATAAAATAATAAAAATAAAACATTTTAAAAAATTTCCTTTTTTCGATTTAAAGCTTTCGTGACTGCAGGGATTCATCTTCTTGGTTCTTTCGGTAAAGTCACGTAGAAGGGAGATAATAAAATAATACAAATAAAACATAATAAAATAATACAATTCTCTAGTGATACAATTATCTCGTGAGAATTGTATTATCTTATTATGTTTTATTTTTATTATTTTATTATCTCCCTTATACGTGACTTTACCGAAAGAACCAAGAAGATATAGCTTTCTTGTTCCAATGCAGTTTTACTCCAATTATAACCTCAACAGAAAGATGAAGCAACTATGGGAATATAATTTTTTCTGATATGTAAGTTACATATTTATGCGATGGACAAATATTATGACAAAGCTTTCACTTTACACTTGCAGTATCAAGGCGAGCATTATATTACATTCACATGGTCCTCAATAGAGATTTTTGGTGTGGATCGCGTAACTATAAATATGTCTTTAAACCCGCCACCACCCGACACAGCCAATTAGTAAGGTTTGCCATGTAAACAAAAGATGCCAATTCGTTTCTAGTACAGCACACCGGTGTATTCGAGAGTAAACCCACAACATTTACAAATCGAGTACGACGTTTCGCCAGTAATTACACCTAGCATCGCCAAGTGACAGCCAGAGTTGTGGAGAAATCCCCCTGTTTCGGTCTTAGAGGCATGTTTTGATTACATGACAAACCTTACTAATTGGCTGTGTCGGATGGTGGCGGGTTTAACGACACATTTATAGTTACGCTATGTAACCAATAAACCTCTATTATGGATATTGGTCGCGAAAAGCCTATATGTTAAACATTCACGTAGTGTTTGAACATTATTATTTAGACTGGAGAATAGGATTTCTCCTTTTTTCTGGCAACAAAACTGGTGTTAAGATGTTAAAACACCAAACTGAAACCTTTTACAAGGAATCATGTCTGCATTAACCACAATATTTGTGGTCAGAATGCAAACAAAAAACATACTCTGAAAATATATGCACTGTCTTTGAAACTGATTGGTCCACACCAGACAGCTTTCTTTGGAGCCTCATCTCAAAAGGTGTGAGACCAGAGAACGCCAAAAGGCGTACATCACAAAGACAATCCACTATCAGAGTAATGAGAGCTCGGGTAAAGCAGCTACATCATGGGACCTCCTTTGCCAGTACCAAGATATATTCTCATATTTTGGTACTGGCAAAGGTGTGGACCAATCAGTTTCAAAGACAATGCATATATTATCAGGGTATGTGTTTTGCTTGCATTCTGACCACAAGTATTGTGGTTAATGCAGACTTGATTCCTTGTAAAAGATTTCAGTTTGGTGTTTTAACATCTTAACACCTGTTTTGTTGCCAAAAAAAGGGGAAAACCTATTCTCATATTTTGGTACTGGCAAAGGAGGTCCCCCATGACGAGCTATAAAGCTCTTTTAAACACAGGTCCAGTAGGGGTGGGTCACAGATGTCCAGTAGAGGCGGGAAAATGATGGTCACATACGTTGCCAGCAGAGGGCAGTGCGGCCACATCCAATGTTCCAATGTCAATGGCTCCCTGCCTTCAGCAGCCTGCACTGGCCAGCATGGTGGCGTAGTCAAAGAACTCTCCAGGACTTGCATTGTGTGGCTAGGCCACCATCCAGCAATGAATTGACACGTGCAAAGACTTTTCCGAGTCCAAATATAATTAACAGCATCTGTCCAACGCTAAATAGTAAGGATGTCTATGTGTATTCCGTTATTGTCGTGGCAGAGCTGAATACTAAACCGTAGTTTGGGGTCTCATTGTGCAACACGGTTCGAGGCGGCTGTTGGAGCAACATCCTGTTAAGTGTAATGGGACTTGGTAGAAACTCCGTACGTGGACAGTCCTACCCATGCAAGTCAAAGCTAAACTGATTGCCGCACATCACTTGTTGACATTAAGAAACACGGCCAGTCGATCACTGGCCTGTCCTTTCCAGAGGATGCCCCAACCCACGCGGTCACAGGTGAACGTCACGTGGCCCGAATACGTGAGATGGCGTGGGTGCTGATGCGTTCACGCGTGCGTTCCCGCACCTGATGAAGAAACGCCATACGGTCCAGGCGAGGATACCGAGAAGGCCGCACACCCACAGCTGCGACACGTAGAAGGGCAGTGGCTTCAGGATTGTGACTGTGTCGTACTTAAGCACGATGAGGAACTCGGTGACGATGATGGCAGCTACCAGCCACGCCTGCTGGCCAAGCTTCTTGTTGAATCTCCTGGGGGTGGGGGGGGAAGGACGTGGAAGGGCATGGTGACACTGCCAGACTTCTCACTCGCACCCGTAAGCATGGCCACAATATTCCAATCCCTCCACTGACTTCCAATCCAATCCCTAATAAAGTTCAAGATCACAGTCACTGTATTCACGATCCTCAATGGACTCACTCTCCTGGTAATCTCCTATTCATCTCAATCTAGCTCCCTCCACGTACTCAACAGTCCAGCAAACCAAGTCCTTCCATTGAAGCCCCGAGTAAAAGTTTCCCTGTTGGAGGTCATTCATTCACTTCTGCTACCCCAATAGTCCGAAACTCCATTCCCAAGCATCCATGCCGTCAACTCGCTGTCTCTGTTCAAGGCTGAATACCTTCTTTTTCTACGACGCATTGCCATCTCCATAGAAAAATGACTACGCCGACTATTTCCGTATGGCGTCTTGATATGCGGTCAAATTTACAAAGTGTATAAATCCTATACAAAAAAACCCCACATTGCACTTGTATTTCACCACACAGCTTGCGGTTATGGCGAGAAACTGCCCTCAAAAGAAAGCGTTGGCACGAGCCCCCAAATGCCACACTCGTGAGCGAATCGGACACTGAATTCAAAGCCACGGAACGTGTGCCATCCATCACGACAGTGCCAAATTTAAGCGACAGTCATCCGACTGTGCGCAACCTGACCCAACAAACAATACTGTTGTGTGCATCAATACAGTGAGCAGGATAAAGAATGTCAGAGTGGAGGACAAGAGAGTGGAGGACAAGAGGCCCACGGTGTGGCGTGGACTCACGGATCATCCATGAAGTCGTAGACCTCGCGCATGGCGACGCCGCCCACGTTGACAAAGAAGATGAGGCGCAGCAGCACCAGGTAGTGCTCGGGAGGCATCCACATCACGAACTTGAGGTAGAACGTGTTGAGTTCAGCGAGAAGGAACTGCGGCAATCCGTGCACGCAAACGCAGATGACAACGATTCTCCGTGCAGATTTATAGACTGCTGGGATAAGTGTTGTTAGCGAGCACCGATCAGGGGCCAGTGCTGATGTTTATATACTCGGTACTAATTTAACACTGATTTGACCTAGGGGAGGCTCGGAACCGGTTCAGATATCACTGGTCATAGTTACAGACACACACACAGACAGACACATGCACATAAACACACAAATGAACACGCACATATGTACAAGATAAGGCAGTCAGTGATACGGCTGGCTGGCGCAAGGCAGGGCCGGACTTTGGGAGCTGAAACAAATAAATGACGACCACCCACTGAGCAGAACTGAACGTTGAGATTGGAGTGGAGACAGACGTTGGATTTGCATTTGAACCTCCGTCTCGACCGTGAGGTCAAGGGTGAATGCAGGAAGCGCTGGGCCACCCGGCAGCCCTGGTATTGTTGTTTACAACTCGGCGGTGACAGAATGCACGTGGACAGGCACTGGCTCACCATGAAGATGAGGCCGCACACAGCGAGCCAGCGTTGCAGGCTTGAGGCCGGCTTCCACTCGAAGCGAACCCAGCTGTATGGCGTGAACTGGAACGCCATGCGCTTGATTTTACCCCTGTGCGAGCACACACGCGCCGGCAGCAGAACGTACACGACCCGCAGCGGCACACACGCGGGCGCACATGCGCGTGCTGCACTTGTTGTACCGCATTCCCGTGCGAGCCACGGAACTCCATTTAGGTACTCGAGTTGCTGCCCCCCCCCGCCCGCCTCACCACAGCACCACGTTTCCATGTTTATGACTGATTCGAGTTGGCTGTCATTTCAAGCTGCAGCCTGAATATACCAGTTACATTTTTGTCCGTGGGCTGACCTGAATTTCACACATTACACCTCCGATTAGCATGGTTGGCTATATATGGTGCGAAAGAAGTTCAACATACATACATACAGGCCGAGTGGAAATACATGACTAAAACCTTGTCACAATAAAAAATGTCGATGGTGAAAGGACCATATTATTTTCCATTTCAACCTGACATTTAACATTACACCTTTAATTCTGTAACTCGGTCTTCAACTTTAATCAGAATTATATCTGGGAAAGTATTTTTTGGATAACTCGAGTAACTTGGAAAAGTCACAGAAATGCCACTTTTTTACCGACTATTTTGGCTGCCAATGCACATGCTCATCTTCTACACACAAAGAATCTTTGCTTCGTATGTCTGTATTGCATGTTAGGGCAAGTCTTGTTGGTGAGGACAGCATAAATGGGGGCAGTGGGGGCAGCACCATGTATAGAAACTGAAAAACTATAAATCATTAAAACTTTTAATTGACCAGGAAAGGCCCACTGAGCTATATAGCTCATTTTCACAAGCGACCTGGCCACAAATGATAGCTCAACAAAGTGGCTTATCATGTGGAAATGTATAGAAGCCACATACTCTAAAACACATGTTTCTAAATGTGGGGGGAAAAACCGGAGTACCTGGAGAAAAATTCTCACGACCCCAGGGAAAACATGTAAACTCCAAATATATCGACTTCAAGGTCGGAATCGAACCCACGACCTCCTATATACCAGGTGAGGTAGTAAATATCTCGCCACCGTGGCGCCCCTATGATACTCAATCAAGGTTGAGTCGACCTAGGGGAGATCCAGGACCAGTTAAAATATTCACCACTTAAATTAGCCATGGAAATCGAGCTCAGGTCGCTGGGTTTGTAGTGCGGGGCATTAATCACTACGCCACTGCTCCGCACGTACACAAACACGTAAATCACATTGTGGCAAGAGCTCACTTGTAGGTCGGAATGCACCAGAGCCCCTGCCAAGAGTATGTCTTCATGGACAGCCACTCCAAAATCTTCATCCCGCAGTAGATGCCCAGCCCATTGCACAGAATCACATCCATGATCCACTGACAAGAGAGAGACTCCACTCACATCACTCACATAGACAATGGTTCAGTCACCCTCTACACATCACTGATTAAAAACGTCTTCAAAATGAATGGTAAAAAAAACTTAATGTACTGAAACAAGCCAAGGAAGCTGATTATATTATTTAGACACATTGTACCTTCCATTTAAGAACAACTATTTCCAAGAATGCCAAGTTGATTAAACAGACACATGTCCTACTGTTGCAAATGGCAATCTATTAATCAGAATATGTATTTATCTTGGTGGAATCCAGGAGGTACAGGTCAGAAAGTTAATACAATCGGTGATGAGACTGGAAAAAAACATACATTCTTTGGCAACAATAGAAGCTGTATTTTACTTGATGTATAAGTATTTTATCTTTGTACCAGAAAATTAATAAAATAAAAATTACAATTGAAAATGTTTTTGGTCATTAATTTTTCTATTTTAAAAGACATTTCTTCATAAGTGCCCAACTGAGTGAAATTTCAGCTTGTTGTTTTCCACAGAGCAATTAATGTATCAACCAACTCCCCCTTCTGCCCAGGAAACTTACAGGTCTGATGTTTAGCACAATAATAACCTTTTGGAACATTATTAAAGACATGAAACTAACTACAATCAAAAAAACTCATCACGCACTGATGCGGAGCGTAAACATGTGTAATTTACCGCAGTTATCTCCACACAGAAATAAAATATGTTTCAGTCTAACCCTCTTCTGGCATTCCAGTCATATATTAACCATCAGCATTGGTTGAAGAAAGGAAACGATTGCCTCCACTGGTTTCAATATTTTTGGGTCTCATCAGCAGTCAGGTTTGTTAAACGAGCACTGTTGGCTCTCCAGATGCGATCAGAAAAAGCACTCCACCTTCACGGGGGGGCGGCCGTCAGTTTATAAAGCAATATTTTACATGTGTAGTGGGTAAGGATGGAAACCAAGTCTTCTCTGGAGGCAACACGTGCATTTATAACAACAGTAACACAAGGTCCCTGGCACAAAGGGGTATCGGCCCCTTCCACCCGACACCCTGCCGCTACATATGTATTATCAAAAAATAATGCGTTTTGGTGGAACATTTTTGGTAAATAATTAAGTAAACAGATCTCCCTCTTTTCTGTATCAGGCTGTAACATTCATAACTGTGATGAGACCCCAAAACGTGAAAATCGGTCCAAAGTTTGCCTGCTGAAAACAAATGTTGCGCGTTAACATAGGTAGTAAAGTGGCCAATTTATATTGTCATCCAAATCAATGCTTGGTATGTCAATACAGTCAAAGATTCAGATATATAATTGACAAGAGATGATCATTGTGTGACAACTATATCCACACGTCCCTATTACACAATTATCCACAGCAGAGGGCAGTGCAGCAACATGTATTGCTCTACTGTACTTATTTACTCCCATGTCCATGATACCCCCCCAACCTTCACCAACCCACACTGACCAGCGTGGTGAAGTATGGTCATATAATATCTACGACGTGCACGGTGTGCGCAAGCCCTCAACTAAGTAGTGGATTGCCAAAACGGCTGTACAGGTAGAAAATCCACAACTGTCAATTTTCCATAGATGACAAGGCTTGAGGCTTGCCTTGCGAAAGAGCTTAGCAAAGGAGTCCATTTCAGTAAAAACAGAGCACGCATTTAAAGCGTGGTAATGCATGCAATCTGGTTGGGAATGATGAAGGAGTGGCGGTCAAGGAAGGGGGGACATGTGTGTACTTGAGGGGACGTCCGCCTCAAGGATGTACAGGTGCCATGTGGATTTTTACATCGTGAGACCACGAGAGATGACGGCTTGGGGAGGAGGTCCTCATTTAGCAGTGGATTGACAAAAGGTGTGTACATGCACACCGACATCATAATCCACAACTGCCAAATCTGCACAGATGGGAAGGCCAAAGGGTGCTTTGCAAATGCATTCAGTAAATATATGATTATGGGCTAAAAACAGAACACGTGTTAAACAAGAGGTACTACTTGTGGTCGGTACATACGTGGTCCCACCAGCACTCGCTGAAGTTGGGCAGCTGGTGCTCCAGAGAGTACTCCAGGAACTCGAACATGACGCTCACGATCATGCACATCCACCAGTCGCGGATCATCACCGTCTGTGCGAGATGAGAGGCACAGGGTGCGTACGTGAGTCTGTACAGAAATGCAACGTCAACCCCTTTACGAGATCCGCCCATTGGATGTGAGCTGCGATTGACCCACCTTGAAGCACCAGCCGATGAAATGAGCAGGTACAAAGCCATCCAACTTGTCCTGCATAAAAACAAACATCATCATAATTCCTTTCAATGATTATTCAAAACATTTTCTTTACATGATGTCAAAGCTGCCAAATTAATTAGCACTTGATATTTAATTCGTATAATTGCATTTTAGATGCAGCACGTTTTCCCTGTAAATCAACGTGAAAAAGGTCTTCATTCAAAAGGGGCTGCTCTCTTAAAATGCCTATTTTATTTCACCACATTCATCAATAACACCGCATTAAAAGACAAAAAGAATATACGAGGTGACATTTTGGGCAATGGTCCTTCTTTACAGCATGCACAGAGGGCAGAGAGATCGAGCGGTGGAGTGGTGGAGTGGCCTCTCCATGTGCTGTGAAGAAGGTCCATTGCCCGAAACATCGCCACTTATGTACTTTTCCTTTTTAAGGCCATGTTATGAACAAATGACTGAATTATGTTTTTTTTCTATTTTTGCTTGTGCACCACTGCCAATGCAGTATCACCAAAAAATGTTCATTATTTCATCTGGTTTGAGCGTGAACGCTAAATATTGCAGAGCACAGTCACGTGATGGATATTTTATAAAAATCCATTTTACAAAAAAATGCCAGGTTATGCAATATCCCTAAAAAAGCAAAGATATTTTTTGAAAGCATTGGACATTTTCAAAATCATCCCAGTGGTTTACGGGTAATGTCGTGAAGCAGATTAAAATGTGTCCCACTATAAAAGCAGATAATTTATTAAAGCAGAGAATTTGGTGAGTTTATCTCTCCAAGCCTCACCCAGATGTTATGCCAGGGATCTTCTTCATTCTCTGGGTCATAAATGAGGCAGTTTCCACCATAATCCCGCTCTGGCAGAGGCACTCCCAGCCGTGGGTCAATAAACTTCATGAACTGCCGGCCGTCATTCACCGACTGGAAGAGAGCAGCAGGCACAAACCACAATCAGAAAGCACACAAACATCACCTGCACATGAATATGAAACTTGACCTTGACTGACCTTAGATGCTTGGCAGCAACTGAAGAGGTAATCACCAAGAATGTCAGGTTTTCTTTTAGAATCACCTGGCTGACTGGTCAAAATATTCCTAAACAAGTTTATTTAGGAATAAAAAGGCACTAATTTGAAGCACAGAAATAAGATTAGATGAAAAAATATAACCTGAAGTTCAGTGCTGTCCTGTGCAATTGCCAGAGAGCCAATTTCCCAATTCTAGATTTGAAGCTTTCGTGACTGCAAGGATTCATATTCTTAGGTTTTTTTGGTAAAGTCACGTAGGTAAAAAATTAAAATTAATAAAAGTTTAATAAAAAGAAAGTAATATAATATAATAAAAAATATATTATTTTTTTATTTTATTTTAATTTTATTAATTTTAATTTTTTACCTATGTGATTTTACCGAAAAAACCTAAGAATACCAATTTCCCAAGTTCATATAACCTTGCTTCATTCAACAAACACATTATGTCGTTTCTATTATAACTTTGATAGAGCCGTTAGTTGCTGACCACTTGGTGTTTTGGGCCTGTGGGACTGTACCCAGAAACTGTGATGAAAATAAAATAATAATGACATGAGAGGGACTGTGTTAACGTTTTAAAATATTTCCACGTGGAAAAAAAACCCCGACGCCACCTGAATGTGGGCTGCAGGCAGTGACGTTGCAAAGAGCAACGATGTGGAGAGATCTGCAGATCCACGTGTGCCGCCACAACTGTAGATTATCTCTTGGTAAAGCCGTCTTTTTTATGTAAAAAACATTTTTGGAGAAAAGTGATGAAAAGTGACTCAATTGTCCATTCATGCCATCACGTGAATCTGGGTGAGTTCATCCAGAAACTGTTTCCTAAACATTGGGCAGATTTGTCAACCGGTGAATGTGCCCTTGACATGTTTTATGAAGGGCAGTCAGATAATTATCAAAGCTGGAATGGCAAATGCAAGAAAAGGCGTTACGCATGTCATTTAGTTATCAATCGTCGTTTATAACACGAGTTTTAGCCTTCAGCAAGTCGAGTGCAATTTATTTGTGATTCACAAGAATGAACAAGATCATATATATCGTTTAAAAATAAGGCAAACGTAAACACGTTGCAGGCATATCTGCAGGTAACATGCTGCCTACAGGAAGCAGGGGATGATAGATGGAGCGAGGAAAATTGGTCTCAAGGCAGTTTAAACCAGAGTGTAGGAAAGAGCGTGAATTATTTATGAAGCACAATGTCTCATCAACATTAAAGGCCCCTTTTTCTGCGAAAGGTACGGACTTCACAAGGCACAATTTACCCAGCAAGAGCTGCTGTCGACCAAACGCTGCCAAAACAGCACGAACACCATGCATACAAGCGGTGACCGTAAAAGGGATTTAAAAATAAACTGTTGTGCATCCAGACACATGGAGGCACAAGCTGTACTCAACGGTGGGACCCAGTCTACACGTTGAAAATTCCACGTACGCAGGGGTTAACCGAGTTGATATTTTCTGACACATGGTGGAGACTGGCAGTTGGAAATATCACCAGCTTGATTTTAGATGTGTCACACAAGCAGTTGCCGAGCCTTTGATCGAACCGCTACTACAAGGAAAGGTTGCCGATGGGGTAATGTTGTACTGAGACCCAGCTGACTTGCCATGAGGGTCAGGTAGTCAAAGGTCATCTAGGTGTAAAGGAAGTCCTGTAATGAAATATTAAGAGTATGCCACTACATATGAGTCAGGGCCCCAATTAATTGTTAAAAGCATAAAATCATTACAGTAGAGGTGGCTGGGTGGCTCATGGGTTAGAGCACGGAGATCATGGTGCTGAATCTAGGCAGCTACCCCATTATTAAATTGGGGTTTCAAGTGTAGAGCTTCAGTACAGTCATCGATGTCTGCACAGAAAATACATTAGTTGATAGCATAAATGCAATTTAGAAAACAAAAATAATCAACAAATGTTGATAAGAGTTTGGCCACAAAAAACTTCCACAAGTAAACATTGGTCTTCTGACAAACGTGTAAGTGGTAGTAAATGCACGCGTTCAATCAGGCTTTTCGCTGTCATTTTTCAAAAGCAAGCTCGTAGCACTAATTTTTTAGACCTTACGTTTGGATGAACACAACAAAGGATCAATAGCATCAATAAACCAATGTAGGCAGTATTCACCCTTAAGTGCCTGCCATGCTTTTAAACCGTGTGCATTTGTCGTTTTTTGGGAAGAGCGTCATTATGAGCGGTCATTATGAGCAGTCACCGTAACATCAGAGTTAAGCTCTAACCAGTAAGCCTTACCCTGAGACTCGGTGTCATTATTGAAATAATAAAGGCGTGGGCTGAAACCAGTGCTTGCCCATTGGAGTTCGTGAAAAAATAACCTTCTCAGTATTTCTCAAGACTATAAACATTATATGATGGACAAGCTACATAATATAATTAATTACAGTATACCAAAGCTGTATGGGGACCCAACTGGACATCTGTGAAAAGAGCTTTACATCTCATCGGATTCCTCCAGTATAAATATTCTGATTCTTAGTGAATAGGCTAATTAAAATTACAATAATTTTAATGGTGTTATTATAATTACGAACTTTTTAAAAATATTTTAAGAATCTCAGTTCGTCTTGGCGCAAACCAATTTCATCATATATCCAGGGCCTCTTAATCTCTTATGGGCCCCGAGCTTGTTTAAATACCTCATTTGTAAGTTTCAAAATATTCCTACAGGAACCTGTACTAGTTCTCTGCAATATTTATGTCTTTGTCTTGTTGCTGCTGTGCTTACGCACCATTGATCTCCCTTGTAAAAAGCCCGGAAACTGGCTAAACAAGATCATCCATGTAACATATATATGTTTAAACTTACTGTCGGCAGGGGCTCACAGTCAGATGCCGTAGGTGTTTATTGTATATTTGGGCCCCAATGATGGGCATCTTATAACGAACACTCAGGGACACAGTGCATTGCACACAGTCGCACATTAAACTTTTGAGCCAAATATGCTTTTCAGGGTGGCGAATGCATTTATCACAATTTTCATGTGTAACCTGAGGCGCATCTTGGAGCCATAGAAGTGATTACAACTGACTGTTTTCATGAATACAAATTACGCAGATATCACTGCACATTGTTATTATTGACCGGTGTGCAGGTGGACAGTAGCACCCTGCAGGAAAGCAGATTGACAAAGCCTTTGTAGCTGTCATGCACGAGATGACCCTCCCCACAAATGCATATGTTTGTAATGTGCGAGGTGCATTGCAAATGCAATGGGAACTAACACTTTACCATTTCTGATAATGGTTTGGCAGAAGCAGCAAATGTGGGATATGGGTCTACATTTGCTAACTGCTCCATCTTGGTGAAGTATGAGATTACCTGAAAGAGGATGAAGATGAGACAAAGTTCATAGACGACGCTGACACAAAGCCAGAATCTCCAGTACGCTGCCATGGACACAAACATCATCAATAACGACCATCATCAGTATCATCATCAACAACAACAGCAGCAGCAGCAGCAGCAGCAGCAAATATCCTTCCACTGCCAGATGAAGGTGTTTCTATGTTTGTGCCAACTGTAACCATAATTCATAATCAACGTTTTTGGGTTTAGATCGCGTCATTTATAAATGTGTCGTAACCCTCCACCACCTGACACGGCCAATCAGTAAAAAAGTGTCACGTTGACAAAAGACAATTAGTTCACTGCTTTAGCCCACCGGTGTGTTGAAGTGTGAAACCACAACAATTTACAATTTGAGTACGACGTTTCGCTGGTAATTGCATCCAGCATCATCGGGCAATTCGCCAGAATGGTGAGGCTCTGCCGTGTCTCCCGTTCTTATATAGAGCCGCAGCAGGGTGACGTCATCATTAACTCATCAGGTGCAAAGATGAGTTAATGATGACGTCACCTTGCTGCTGCTCTATATAAGAACGGGAGACAGCAGAGCCTCACCATTCTGGCGAATTGCCCGATGATGCTGGATGCAATTACCAGCGAAACGTCGTACTCAAATTGTAAATTGTTGTGGTTTCACACTTCAACACACCGGTGGGCTAAAGCAGTGAACTAATTGTCTTTTGTCAACGTGACACTTTTTTACTGATTGGCCGTGTCGGGTGGTGGAGGGTTACGACACATTTATAAATAACGCGATCTAAACCCAAAAACGTTGATTATGAAAAATATTGGTCGCGAAAGCCTACGTGTTAAACTGTAACCATAATGTCTTGCTCCAGTGGCTATAATCGTGCTGCCATCCCCATCATGTGCCCTCAATTGTACTCCCCGTTTTGTAAAGACATGCCATCACTAGATCTGTGTTTCTTATCCAAACAAAGATGCAGGATATGTTGAATGATACAGCATATTTACAAAATTAAATAAGTTTGAGATATAAATGGCAATGAATTAGAGGCTGAGTTCTTTTTGTAAGGGTTGATATAAATCCGTACATCATCACAATCCATGGGCATACAGACTGTAGGTGTCCACTGCACATTTCCACATTCCTGCCCTGTGCCAATATGCTCAAGTAGTGCCACAGCTTTTTGCCACCAAACTCTTAAGTCGTCATGCCATTCTCTTTTCGGTCTTCCTCTCTTCCCAGGTCTTTCTATTTTTCCAAACAACAGACTTTTACTTTTCCTGTTGTTGCCCATCCGACATATGTGCCCACAATATGTGCAGAGGCAGAATAAATGGATGACTATTTATGGCATTAGGTCCTGCCAAGACTCTCATCCCTTTCCACAAACCACATTAGCGGATGCTGCTGTTTATAAGCATTCTTGTGACATTTTAAAGCCTAGCAATAAATAAACTCTAACCTATGAAAATTACTCGAGTGAAACAATGTTTTACAACATATTCTATTTTATGGAAGTCTGCACAGTGGTCAAGAAAACAAGATTGGATCTCTAAGTTGCCATGTAAAAAGTGTTTTTGAAATGTACAGTTTATAAAATGTAATTAAAATGGTTTTGTTTGTTATAAATGTATACCCTTGTATTATTCACTATATCCTCTGTACCGCCACTTCATCCAAAGTATTTATTACTTGGACATTAGTTTACACGAACAGCATTTTCTAAAATGTATACAAAAAATATTAGTAATTCCAGTGAAGTGAAATTAACACGAATACGTGCAAATTAGAGAACAATGCAAAACAGACAGATTTTACAATTAGAGGAATATTCATTTGTTAAGATAATACGCTGGAAGAATTACAATAGAGAACACGTGAAAAATGTAATTAAATTATTCGAAAAGAGCCCTCAACCAAGCAACATGATCACCCAAACAAATACTGCACAAGCAATGTTGACTTTCACGACAATTTCTGTGCATTACAAAGGGTCTCTTTATTTACTGGCTATGCTGTTGCTGTGCTGGATTGGGTGCACAATTTACGATGAATTATACACGGCCAAATATCGCATTGCAATCAATCAGACAGCAATTCCCAGGCCTTGACAAAACATCCATTTTATAATTTATGAGAAAGAAGATTGCGTCATGATTGCAAAGGCACAGACGCCCATCCCCCCTGCACTGTCAAATATGCCAGTTCAAGTGTCCTTGTGAAATTAGCAAACGCTTATTATGAGTTAAACAGATGCACGACTTCACGATTCAATTAATATAAATAAGCACAGCTGAATGTTTTTTTTTACTTTAAATATGTTAACAGGTGCTCCATGTAATTTTATGTTGTTTGATGAGCTGAGTAATGAATTGTGGCAAATCAGTCAAGGGTACAAACACAGCTCACATAACTGGATGAACTGCCTACCTTGACGTATAATGCGTGTGCATGTATCAACAGTCGCTCTTTCATGTTGTACAGTACTCTTCAAATACAAAACCAGCTTTCAGTTTTCATACTCGCTTTAATCTTCCAATGTGTTTATGGAAGTTGACCTTCAAATATTCTAAATGTAACGCGTTATACTCTACATCGACTAAGCTGGAGCGGTGGCACAGTGGTTAGTGCACTGCGCGCCGACACCAAGAGTTGGATTCACCGCCACAGCTAACATCAGTGGCGAGTGAATTCGGAATCGGTTTTGGGTGTCTCTTTCACGAATCCGGATGACTCATCATGGTAAAGTATGGTGACTCAACCCCCGTGACTGACATGGTGTGGGGGAGACCTTCATCCAGCAGTGGATTTTAAAATGGCTATTAATTATATTTACTCATATATTGAAAATAACATCAGGTCCATGTGCACTAAAGGAAACGTTGATCTTAGAAAATTATTCAGATGGACATGGGCTGGATTTCAGCCAGGACCCAGCAGTTAACTTTTCATACAACGGTACCCCTTTAGGCTTTAATGTGTGAAGAGCAAATGGGACAGGTGCATGAATAAACCATTCCATTATTCCCAAGGCATATCTAGTGGAGTGTTTACATGCGATAGGCTGCCACAGTTCCTCCCAGTCCTGCCTTGATCAAAGTCACACTTATCAGCATCACTCCCTGCTGTAATGTCACACGCATTATGTAAGCATGTTAACAGAGGGGCAAGAGGGAAATCACGTGACCGTTGTCTGCATGTTTGTAATGTTTAGTGTTTATTGTTCATTAGTCTAAATGTACAGTATAGTTAGGTTACAACCGTCTGTCACAATTCAATGCTGGATGAAGGTCTACCAACAATCTTCATGCCTAGTTAGTCACAGGGAGTTGTTTGACCATATAATAATATGGTCAAACAAGAACCCATGATTTACTACATGCTCAATTGTATTCCTGGTCCACAAAATCGATGTACCAATGATGTTACTTCTCAGCTCAATTGAGTACATTTGGTATCCTAAGCAGCGTACATTATTTTGTTACGCCATGGCGTCTGCTCTTTGCTACAATGTTTCAGGCAATTTTTTTAAAAATGATAGCACTCTAGAATGATATACTGTCATACCATTTACTGTTAATATGTCTATCTCTAAATTTCGATTTAAAGCTTTCGTGACTGCAGGGATTCATCTTCTTGGTTCTTTGGTAAAGTCACGTAGAAGGGAAATAATACAAATAAAACATAATAAAATACAATTCTCACGACGTTTCGGCCACAACTCAAGCAGCCGTCCTCAGGTGAAGAACAGGTCTGTCTTTCCGACAGACTTTCCGACAGACCTGTTCTTCACCTGAGGACGGCTGCTTGCGTTGTGGCCGAAACGTCGTGAGAATTGTATTTTATGTTTCATTTTTATTATTTTATTATTTCCCTTCTACGTGACTTTACCGAAAGAACCAAGAAGATGTCTATCTCTGTTAAAGTTGTTGCAGGAGAACCCTTGCTTTTGCAATATATATTTTACCTAGGTTTCCCTTACAAAAGAGATTTCTGGTATCAATGGCTTCTTGTTACCTGGTCTTAGGTAAAATAATTAAAATGCATTTGTACTTTTCAGTAAAGATATTGTCTTTTTGCAAATATTATTCCTGGTGTGCAAATGCCATAATGTCACAGACAAAGAATCTATTTGGAAATCTCCAAGTGCAGTGTGACCCTGCGCGCTGTGCCCAAGGAGGGTTTGATGCAAGAAATTGGAATTTTTTAATAAAATTTGTAATTTTTATAAAATTTGCAATTTTTCTTAAAATGTAGATTTTTTTTTGCCTTTAGCTATGTCTGAGAAGAGGAAATGTGATGCACGTGCAGAAAAGTACTTAAGAATGTTCAAATATAAGTGTTTGTTTTTACTTAAAAAAAATGTTTGTAGAAGTTATGTTAAGTTACAATAAATGTTTGTGAGGGTTATTTTAATTTATTTCCGTGGTAAATTTTGGTATTTTTAATGGTATGTAATGGATTTCCAGAAACGGAACCCCAATTTATAGCATTGCACCCTATGGGAAATAAGGGTTCGACGTTCGAGAGTCGTCCAGGAACCACTTGGGTCGTAGGTGCGGCGGTCACCTGTAGCCAAATGAAGTGAAAGTCCAATTTTTCACATGCCAGTATGCACAACGTCATTGCTGACCACCAGGCTAAACATCATCTCACAAACCCTGAAAACTTGGTTTAAATGAGAGGCCTCTGCCCAGATTCCAATCCTGCACATCAGCTTCTTCAACCCAGCACTGTGACCTTCAGCCACTGTCAGTGGCCCTTGCTGAGCAGGTTCCAGACAGGGTAAGTAAGGCCTTTGTGCAGCCAACCTCCACAGTTGGGGTCTTCTTGACAACCCACACTACAGCTGTGGCACTATACAAACAATGTTGCATATTGTCGATAACTGTCCAGTGATCAAGTTCAACGGAGGTCTACGACAACTAAACATGACCACCGAGGACGCTATCGCATGGCTCGGCGATTACGCACTCGTTGAATGACGAAACCCAGCCATCTCGCAGAAAACGTAACTGTAACCAGGCTCGATTGGAACTGCAATGAGCTGGAGATAAGTAAAATGGGCCACCTTTTCTGGTTGCACTATTTTAATGAAACAGTAAAAAACACAGAGGTGTAGTTACCTGGATGAGGTCGAGTGAAGGGTCCATCCTTTGTTTGCGTCACCCCAAAGCACAGGAACACCAGGATGCTGGCTATTATGCCCCTGCAAGTCAAGCATCAGTCCCAAGTTAATTAACTCACTTGTTTTTTGCAAAAAAAATTTAAAGCTTAATTTTGGGGAACATTATTCATATTCATACATCTCAAGTAAGTATCAAACAATCAATACCTAGGCATGCAATGCAATGAATGTATTGTGAACTTAAGAATCAACATTGCAGAAACTGATGAATCGATGTATCAATACACCCCAAGCATATCCTCTTAATAATGCTGGGATGAGATTATGAACATCTTTGTGATTTCAGATTTTAATACACCTGTGCTTTAGTAGTGAAACATTTAAGCCAGCTAAGAGTTTAATTTGTAAATCATCACTATCACTTGAGTTAACGTTGAATAATCTATAAGTATTATGACATTGTAGCAGACACTAGACCCAATTAACATCAACTTTTGAAAGTTCACATTTATCGTGAAAATAACATTCTTATTTATCTGTATGCTTGAGAATGCCTCCAAAGTGTTTCAGTTGGAAACATTCCTCCCAGGCTAGGCCAGGGACGTCATCTCCCAGCAAACACGCAGAGACAATACATATCACATCACCCCAAATTTAGTGAACACACAACAGTTTACAATTTGCTGATAAGGGGGGCGGGGGAGGGCTAACGTCAGTGTCATCAGTGAAGAACAGGACCAACATCAGTGATCTGAACTGGTCCTGGGCATCCCCCTTCACCAACCCGCACTGACCAGCGTGGTGAAGTATGGTCAAAACAACCTCCACGACCGACATGGCGTGGTGAGGCCATCACCATGCAATGTCTCGACGAAGGGCTGTGGAAATGCTGAAATTAATTCAGTTACTGCTGGAGTAAGGTGGTGTTTTGCCGTACTTCCCCCCACCATGTATAAAACAATTACTATGACCCTGGCTCTGTATCTCTCTCCACTCCTCTGCCCAATGACGGCTCTTTTGCTCAAACTTCCAAAATCCCGTTGGGTCCTTAAGCCATATTTTTCTATTTACCTCCTTCAAGTTGCCAAGTAGTGTCTTCAATTTTTTTTGCCTCATGTCTTTTTCCCCCAACATCTCGGCCTCACTAAACCTCACGGCAGCTCATTCATATTTCATCAGCCATTGTCCCCTTGACATTAGTTTTACATCTAACTGAGAAGCAGGGCTGTGTGCAGTGAACCCTGCAATTGTCTCCATCTGTACGATGATGTGATCTTTCACTGTGACCTTGGTAAATGTCATCGCAAAAACGAATTGTATAAGATAAAATGTACCCATGATTATTATGAAATGAGTAAACACAATAAAAAACATGGAAACACAATGAAAATCTTTTTTTCAGGAATTTACTTCAATTGCTTTCTGATTTCTATTTAAAGCTTTCGTGACTGCAGGGATTCATCTTCTTGGTTCTTTCGGTAAAGCCACGTAGAAGGGAAGTAATAAAATAATACAGACCTGGTTTTCACCTGAGGACGGCTGCTTGCGTTGTGGCCAAAACGTCGTGAGAATTATTTTATTGTGTTTTGTTTTTATTATTTTATTACTTCCCTTCTACGTGACTTTACCGAAAGAACCAAGAAGATGATTTCTGATTGTATCAAATGTATTATCTCTTTAATCTCATGATCTGGAGCATGTATCACTCTCCATTGAGCTGTAGCAGGGATGAAACGAATAATACATCTTTCCTGCCTATTCTCAGCATGGTCGTGTCGATTATAAAAGTGCAGGAGTCTGATTTTTGTTTAAATTTTTGCTATTTTATTCATTAAAAATTACCTTTACGTAAACAAAAAATATAAATAAAAAAGGCAGACTTGTGACAAACGTTCAGTCTTTCCATCACGTCTTACATGTCATGTGATATCACCATACTGCGTGTATATTCACACAGCCTTATTCAAGACCACCAACCCAAAAGCATCAAAGTTGTGAAAACTGTAGTGAATCCAAAAAATGATGAAACCAAAACAGTTGTTTAATTGTCATGAAGCTTCCTCATTAAATGGCCACAATTTTGACAGATTTGGTTATCAAGGACAGGGCTGTGTGCATAGACACACGGTGTGGTGATGTCATGTGACGCGCAAAAGATGATGGCAAGGCCGATAAAATGGTAACATTTGTGCCTCTTGCAGTCTCGAAGTCATCTTTTGCACGTGATATTACTCTTGTCTGTTTCCATGCTGCATGCACTTCTTCTGTCTCATGAGTTTCTCATCATTTGACATAAAGTGTTACAACTGTACGATGCTTAGGAAAAAATATCGTGCAAGGTAAATCCAGACATGGCTGAGCCAATATATAGCAGCTGTTTCTCACTATGAATGACTCACAGTAGCTGCTCAAGCTGCCCTGACTTCTGGACACAAAGGACTGCTATTGTAAAGTACTGTTATGACGTGTAATGCCTGCCAGCTCATAGATGTGACAGCATGAAAAGGTTGCTCTTCCTCTGCTATCCTTGGGCAGCTATGTTGCAATGCTGGGATACGTTGCTGGCGAGCGTCTATTGGGCAAACGGTGACACAAAAGCTAAGTGGGGGAACCAGGCACCCAAAGCCAATGTAGACTTCTTCAAATTAGAAGCTCAAAACAGCACGGAACACTCATTCATATAAGACTGAGATGACCTTGAGAAAGAGCATAACAGTTACAGATACCAGAAGCCACGCACGGCATCTGTTTTTTTGCAAAGTTTGAATTACAATACTTTGTCCAACACACACTCATACACCCTTACACTCACTCACCCACATAAGCATTCCAAATATACAAAAGAACCCCTGTGCAGCCTATGCTGACTGTTGGGGCAAATGCTATTTGCTAGTACCTATGAAGGCTGGAATGGCGCAGAAAGGGGGTGGTGGTGTGACCAGTACCACGCCTTTGTCTCCCCAACGCTGATGTTTACATAACACACCAGCTACTTACTCAGTTAAGGCTGAAAGCCAAGGGAATGCCCAGGAACGGTTCCTATATTTGCAACCGAGTTAGAAGTGGCTGGAAATTGTATTCAGATCACCATGTTTGTAGCGCATTTCACTAACCAGCACACCACATTTCTGCCCACCCCACATACACAGAGGCACACTATCAGTATGCAACCGAGGCAAAAATGAGCCAGGCCAACTTGTATTGGCACACACTGGAGGAAACTAAAGAGCAGCGTGCATTCAGACAGATGCAGACACATGCTGGATACAGAAATAGCCAGGCTGACTTATTTCTGCTTAGAGCACATTTTTCTAAAATTAAGGAATACGAACAGATGCATGTGCCCACACACAAATCAACTGTTACCGTTTGGTGTTGTAGTTTGTGTCTTGCGGGGTCTCCTCTATGAGGGTGACATAGACCAGCGTGCAGATGAGAACGAACAGCACGGTGAGAGTGTGTGCTCTCCTGTTGAAAGGCAACACGCGCGCACACACAATCACTGTTAAATCAACAAGAACAGCAGCAGTACACAAGTATTTACAGACTTTACAATGTGCTAAAAAAAAGATGTATGCATTAACATTACATAATCAACACGATTTATTGCAGCGCAATCTTGAGCCTGTAAGCCAACATTTTTTAGAGAAGACAAGGGTTGGCGATATATGTAGATTTGTTAAACTGAAAAATCTGCTGATGGGTCGTGAGGTGGCCATGAGATGGCCGCATGGGAAATGGAATCGCGACCCCATTTGCGCTTGACTTGCAGTGTAATCCCTCTGTATGCATGGCTTTTTCCCAGGTACTCCTGGTTCCTTCCACACACAATAAACTTTTACAGACAACCAATTCCTTAAGATGCATGCAAACGTTACAAGGCAATGGAACAATAAAGTACGAGACACCGCATGAGGAAATGAAAATAAAACAGCAAATAACTATATATAACAGATTCATGAATCAAACTGCGATCCCGGTTATGAAACGGTAGTCTTAGTTTTTAGTCTAGAATGAAAGAGGCAAGTTCAATATGTACATTTTAAAAAGATGGTAAACATTTATAGAATCAGCAGAGGAGAAAGTCAGAATCAGAATCTTTATTTAGACTGGAAGAATCCGATGAGCAATGAAGCTCTTTTTCACAGATGTCAAGCATGGGTCGGGTCAGTAGAGAGGGGATTTGTTTGATTTCAGACATCATTTAGAAAACATCAAAACACTCATTTAACTCCACTGGCCAACAGAATGAGACTTAATATTCAAAACATGAATTGGCTATTTTTAACTCAAGAATGAGCTTTGATACCATAAAAAGGCATTTAAAATGACACGACCCCTCACCTAATTGACGTAAAAGGCACGAGGTTGAAGTTCCTTTCTCAGTTGTTTTACCAAGGGGGTTGGTCGCAAACCACGCACGTGGCAAGCCGTGAACTCTATAACACTCCCAAAGTGAAGACGCAATCACTTGCCAGTGAACTTCAGGTGAACTTTCCATGACATTTTGCCAAGGGTTTATAAACCCGAACTTTCGATGTTATGTGAAAATAGGATTCGGTGGCAAACAAAAAGTGGATAAATAAATTGTTCATCCAGCACAAAAAATATGTTTTATTCATACGAGAGTATACTGTCCTGTACATTGTGGAAAATGCACACCGTGAACACGTACATTTAAATTACCCTTTGGTCAATTAACCCCTTAGCCAATTCAATGGTGGAGAAGGGCCTACCCACGCTGTGTGGATAAAGGGGGGTTTTATTTGACAATATTTCACCACACTGGTGGTGTGGGTTTATGGATGAGCTGATTGTTTTAATCACTTAGATCAAGCAGCAAACCTAATGACTTAAACTTTATAGACTCTTGGTGCCAGGTCAAGAACACAATGGACAATTAAGAATAGTTTCCAGTGCGATTGTTGGTCATCAATATCAAGCCAGGGACCACATAATAGCACTACTGCCTGCTTTGACCAGTCACAGGCTAGCACTTCAGATATTCACCAGGTTACTCATGAAGCCATCCACTGGCTAATTTACTAACATCAAATGAATTTATAAATGTTGCTGTTCAACTCCCCATTATGCTAAAGAAGATGCCATGAGCACAGTTTTTTGTTGTTACACAAGAGCCCAATACAGAACACAAGCTACTTGCGAGCAACAAAACCGGGGGATCGGCAAAGTGTAACTGGGCTCATGCCATGAGTAGTTTTGGACATGGTTTGAGTTAATGGGAGAAGATGCCATTGGTAGCTTTTAGCAATAACATGATCGGATTAGGACTGGTTTTATAGCCTTAGGAATTATTTCGCTGGCAGCAGAGCTATACGCTACCTAACTGGCATTGATTTCAGAAGCATGGATAGTGGAGGATCAAATTATATTTGGAAGCAGCTATAATGGCTGCTGCCTGTCAAAATCACATGGCCATTAGTTTGTCTCCGTCTTGCCTTGAGTGACAATGCTCAATCTTGATGCACAATTGCCTAACAGCTGCTGCAGTTATGTCCTCCTATAATCTGCCCCAGCGACCTCTCACCCACTGCAGCAGATGCTGACCCTCCATCCATACAAAGTGTCACTGACACTGCTATCAATGTGACAAATACCAACGAATTTGTATTAAAATGTTCACACAAAGATTCCTATTAAGCCCTATTTAGAATTGCAAGCAATATATAAAAGCACTTTTACTTGTACTATATTGTAGTCAGCTGTGTGGGAAATTTCAACATACGTCCAAACATAATGTTCTTTATTTACTGATGAATACGTTACGGAGTTTCAGAGCTCTATTGTTCAGGAGGGTCACTAATTAGGATATTTGGCCAATTCGATTAACTAGTTTATATAAGCAGAATCTGGAGTACCTGGTGAAACCGCCCCCCCCCCCGCATATCACTTAATTCTATGCACAGATAGATTCAAGAATCCATTGCTGTACTGCCATCTCCTAGTCCACATTTTTTTTTTAAATCTTAAGACTATTGGAGAAAGACATTTTGCGAGCACCTATTAAGGCCAGCATATCACACCTGGGGATGAAGCACATGGAGCCACCAATGCCTCATCAGTGCTGGTGTTGACACAAATGCACATGGGAATTATTTTAGATTGAGGAGGCCCAGGCCAGATTGAGATAATAGTTAATATCTTCAAATCTAACCTGGCAAAGCTGTATTTAAAAACAAGGCATACAGTACAGTATTGCATGAATTATTCCTCGTGTGCTTGAAATTAATGGAATGTATTCGAACTAATTTGGTAGAAGTCGATTGCACAAAGCACATCAATTAATTCCAGCCAGTCACAATTCACCAATGTATGAAGGCCTCCCCCAAGCCATGTCGGTCATGGGGCTGTTTTGGTACCAAATTCCACCACGTGTGTCGGTGCAGCTTGGTTATGGGGATAAAGCGTGCAGCAGGATGCATACACGGCCAATACATTGTTTTTGTTATCATTACGTTGGTGCTAATTTGATTAGGAGAAACTCAATGTGTAAATTCTCCAGTGCGAGTATTTTATACATGAAAAAAATTGGCACAGGAATCTAACCACGGACTCTTACGAAAGAGAGGGTCCACAGAGTGGTGTGCGATTATCGGCACCACGCGCCACGTGGTGCAATGGAATGACACAGCATGCAAGGTCACAAAGCAGACACATGCGTACAGTAGCAGTGTCCACACACCGAGGCATGGCAGGGCAGCCGTGAGCGTTGTCATTCACTCAGCAGCGATGCCCAGCCCATTAGGAAGGAGAGCACCACTGATAATTCCAGTTCACTCGCCACTGATATTCGGGGAGCATGGATGTCGGAGCGTAGTACAGTACAATAGAGTTTGCTACACTGCCCTCTGCTGGCAACGTAACCGAGCAGCTGCCTATACACCCCTAACAGATGTCATGTCCACACACGCAGCTCTTTCAAGAAAACTCTACAGGCTACAATACACATTGCATACGATATTGGCACACAGCATGACACACAGTTCTATGTGAACCGCCCGCTAAACACGCCATACACATTCAACACATACCCTCAGAAAACCCCATTAACAGTAACCCATATACCATACATCCACACACCACCCATATATACAGCCCGATACGCACCCCCAAACATCCACTGCCCCCCACTAACTCTGACAGCCCTCCATACCCCCCAGCAGCTCCCATAAACCTACTACCACCTCCACACACACAAATATCCCACACGTGTCCCCACCCCACTCACACAGCCAGCCCCCCGCACACAGCAGCAGCCCCCCATACACACACAGCCCCCTAAACAATGCACGCCCTGAACCCCACCCCCTCTCCACACACACACAGCCCCCTACACAATGCACCCCCCTCCACACACACAGCTCCCTACACAATGCACCTCCTACACACACACAGCCCCCTACACACACACAGCCCCCTACTGACACACAACCCCCCTCTACACCCACAGCCCCCTACACAATGCACCTCCTACACACACACAGCCCCCTACACACACACACAGCCCCCTACACACACACACACAGCCCCCTACACACACACACACAGCCCCCTACACACACAGCCCCTACAAACACACAGCCCCTACACACACACAGCCCCCTACACACACACAGCCCCCTACACACACACAGAGACGTGCACGCACCAGAAGAACGTGTTGGTGCCATCGTCGTAGACCTCGGACTCTGTCGAGCGGCGGCACCGGGACCCCGACGAGCCGGCAGGCCCCGGGGCGCCCCCGACTCGCCCGCTCTCCCCACCCGGAGGGGGGCAGCTGCCGTTCCCCACCGCCTCGGCGTGCTCCCTCCTCGCCTGGCGCCTGCGGGGGGCTCCCTCCATGTCAAGCGAGGGGGAGGGGAGGGACGCAATGAGAGAAGAGACGCGAGGTGGCGACACGGACACGGCGGCGGCGGCGGCGGTGGTGGTGCCGAGACGACCCCGGGGGCTGACTGCTCACACACGCGCCACCTGCGGAATCGATTCCACCACACTTTCATGTGCGTGTGTCGATTACGGGCTGGATCGATTAGCGCGCCGATTCGACTGCACGTCGTGGTGCGGTGGTGAGAATAATCGATTCTTAGTGGAGTCGAGAGGAATCGGATCGTGGTGGGGATGTGATGAGTCAAGTTACACGCGTGTGTGTGTGTTGCTGTTGGGTGTCTCGGCTGATTATTTGCTGTGCTTTGATCGGATTAATTTAATTAAATGCGAATTTGTTTCGGTTGGATGTGACGCTCAACAGCAATGTGGTTGTCGGGGATATGTGTAAATAAAAAAAATTAGGAATCGAACGTGAAATGTCTGCGTGGTGAATTGTTGTGAAATGAGATGGATCAGCTGATGAGTGAGCTGTTGAGTTGAAAGCGCACATAAGCAATCATCTATCCACATATGAATACATTTTTTTTAAAATCCCATCAGCCTATGGCTTTAGCAATCAATATTATAATGTAGTATTTCTTTAAGAAAGCAAACTCTGGACCTGTTTCGATTTTCTGGGTCTCATCGGTCAATCTAATATTTTTAATGCAGCTGCAGTACCATATATTTTTGGCACGAGCATTCCATTTAAATGATGGGATCCCATGTAACAAAGCAATGGCTTTGTTTAGAGATAAGGCTCTTGGGCACTTCCAACTGGAGCCCTCCATATTGAATACATTACTCATTTATTTTGGAATGACAGGTGGACGGACGCAAGACTTAACTTCAAATGGCTTTTATTTACACAACATAATGCAAAATAAATCACTCTTACACATACACATCGTGGCATGTATATTTATACACAGATATACACTCACCCTTATTATAACAGACTCGAGCCGATATTGCTCCTTGGGTCTTCTATCATGCATCTCTTATCTGCTAACATACATACTCCTTCACCTGCAGCCATCTCTCCTCTTTACACAATTCTAAACCTAACAGACACCTGCGCACCAAAAAATTACCGCTATTTACCAACCGTTCACACCAATCCACCAACACTGTCAAATACATGAAATGGTGGCAAAGCAATCCATCCAACGGACATCAACCACCCCACGAACGAACCTGACTGCACCATCCAAAGCCACACACACCTATTACCCACATCCCATCAGTTCTATATACAGTAATGCATTGTCTTGGTTCTTTCGGTAAAGTCACGTAGAGGGGAAGTAATAAAATAATAAAAAATAAAACATATTATTTTATTACTTCCCTTCTACGTGACTTTACCGAAAGAACCAAGAAGATGAATCCCTGCAGTCATGAAAGCTTTAAATCGAAATTTACAGTAATGCATTTTTACCCCTTAACGAATTTGTCATTACACCATTATGACCCCAATCTCTTTCTGGCATGCTCCAGGTTCAGCAGTAGAGTCTACAACTGCTCTTCAGAGTGAGCAGCAATTGCCAGGTCGTCCGCATACATAACATGGTTGACCAAGAAGAGTCCATCACTTGACCGTACCTAGGCATCAATCAGCCTCCCATTGTATCTATGCTAGATGGAACCTCTTCAGGTACAGCCATGGAAAGCTTCTTGAACTACGTGGTCAAAAAGTGTATTAAATAGTGTAGGGCCAGAGAACACCCCAAGGTGAACAGGAAATGGCTCTGACTCCTGACCACGCACTTTTACCGTCCTGTCCACCATCGCAAACTTGATACAAACGTATGATTTAACTTTGTACGGCCAGCAGGATGAGGACTTTATGTAAATCTATTTTTGTCTCTCAACGTTTGTAAATGTCTTTGCTACATGTCTTAAGTTTGAAAATGTGTAATTGATTATGATCACAATCATGATCATTTTCATTAGCATGAGAACAATTATGATCTCAATCAAAATCAACAATATTATAATCATCACCATGAACATAATCACAAACATCACCATCACAATTATCAGTACCACAATCATAATTATCATCATTCCAAATTTCATCACATCTCGAAAGCTAAGCAGACTGAAGACTGATTAATAACTGGATGGGTTTGCCACCAGGGCTTTCCATGTGATGCAGGCGTGGAGCTGCGATGTGTTGCCACGAGATGGCAGTGCTGAACATCACCCATCGTGTGTGTGTGCTGGCTTTACTCCGAGTTTCACCCACATAAAGCCACACACTCAGGATATTGGCCAAACATATCAATGCAGGACGCTCCTAAAATATAGTCTAGGGAATCAGTGAGTCTTTGCTGGATAAATAATGAATGGGCATTAGTATAAAAATAATTTTCCACTTGCCAGCTACAATGTGAATATAGACATACAGTAAAACCTTGGATTGCGAGCATAATTCGTTCCGGAAACATGCTTGTAATCCAAAGCATTCGTATATCAAAGCACCCGTATATCAGTTGTGATCACGTGACGCTCGGCAGACAAAGCGTATATGTACTACTCGTATTGCAAGATCTCGCTCGTTTATCAAATTCATATTTATTTAAAAACTTTGCTCGTCTTGCAAAACACTCGCAGACCAAGTTACTCGCAATCCAAGGTTTGACTGTATATGCGTAAAACTGCAAGTTGCCAGTGCGTGCAATGTGAAGTTAATCGATTCACGTTGGAGATAGTGTGGGAGATGTAGAGAGCATCGGTAAATTTCGATTTAAAGCTTTCGTGACTGCAGGGATTCATCTTCTTGGTTCTTTCGGTAAAGTCGCGTAGAAGGGAAATAATAAAATAATAAAAATAAAACATAATAAAATAATTTGTATTATGTTTTATTTTTATTATTTAATATATTTATTTATCATCGTTAGTTTGACTTAGCCATGAGGTGCGTGGTTCAGTTGTCTCATGGGGCGAGGCGTGGTGTGGATGGGCAAGCTTAGTGGTGGAGTCTAAGGTACGGTGTACAGCGGAGGGCTGTTGTTGATGAAATAATTGGATCAATGATGGATGTATACTGTGGAGATTACAACCATAGTACCGTACTTGTGTTTCATCGTCGCCCAGAGGTCAGAGTGCAAAGCTGGCACGACTTCAATCCTGGGTTTGAATCCAGATAGCTGCCTGTGATAAAACATTTTTTATCAAGTGTAGTGAGTTTGATGGTCTCAACTCAGTCACCAAAGAAATGCACGAACAGCATTAAATTAGGTTCGATGATTGGCCAAATGCCAGCGATGATATGTTAGTTTCGCGGTTATGTAACAGTGGCAGAGCTGATGTAAAAGTGCTGCCCTCTAGTGCATGAACATCTTCCACGAGCCCGTCACCTAACGCGATGGAATGTTCTGCTCTGTAGCAGAATATCCGGATGGATACGTTTATCTCACGACACGATGCCATATCAGTCAGGGCCAGGGTTTGTGGGATGTAATTTACCGATTGGGTATTGATGTCAAAAGGCGTGTGGTGTCACGTACGGGAAGGAGCTTGCAATGATGGGAGCAGGCAGGCGATATTTTTTTGTAGATTTCTCATTCTTACCCGATTCTTCATGTCATCCCGAGATTCAGCCTCGTCCTCGTGTTGAGGCTCAGACAAAATCGCCAGAAATGCACCAGATCCCGTCTGCGTCTCCATCGGACACTAAGCATGTTTAGTCTAGATAGTGCATACCAGGTGTTATAGTGGGAGCCAACAAACTATTTTTTTTACTTAAAACTTTCGTGACTGCAGGAATATTTCTTTTATTTTATCAGGTAAAGGCCCACTGAGCTATAAAGAACTCTTATTCAGAAGCGACCTGCCCACAAATGACAGCTCAACGAAGTGGCCTGTCAATGTAGACATTTATAGCAGCCACATTACTCTAAATGCATGTCGATTATAAATGTGTAGGGGAACAACTGGAGGAACCCGGATAAAAAACACATGCTATGTGTCCATACGCTACGCTTTAACCAACCTAGACCAGAGGTCGCAACCGGGTACCCGATACCCGTACCCTACCCGATACCCGGCCGGGTACGGGTACGGGTAGCTGTTTGCGACCCTGGTGCGGCCGGGTACGGGTACGGGTAGGCCGTGAGTCACTGGTGAGTAGTCGTTTGTCACTCATTTCGGGCAGGGTACGGGTAGGGAACGGCTACCCGGTCGAGTACGGGTACCTATTTGCGACCCTGGTGCGGCCGGGTACGGGTAAGGAATCAAAACCCTTTTGCGACCTCTGACCTACACTGACCAGCGTGGTAAAGTATGGCCAAATAGCCACCACGATTCGCGCGTAGCAAGTTTCGCCTCCTATTGGCAGGCGACATAGCTGCGGAAATTGTGCACGCGATGATTTATAATCGATGCTCGCAAACAGCATAAGCTTCTTGGTTCTTTTGGTAATAAAATACATTTTACTATGTATTTATAATTTATTATTTTATTATTTCCCTTCTACGTGACTTTACCGAAAGAACCAAGAAAATGAATCCCTGCAGTCACGAAAGCTTTAAATCGAAACAGCATAATGCCGAATTACCCAACCATCCGTGTGTGTGTGCGTATGTGCGCCTATGAGACCTGTGACACAATCACGCGGAATGTGACCCCAAAATGTTGGGAAGCTGAGCAGATTTGAGCGGATTTGAGCGTGGATAGTGCTCGGTGCAGCAGGGGGCAGCAGAGGGCAGCAGAGCAAAAGCCAAGAGAGCGCTGCATCAGAATCTATTCTGGATCTTTATTTAGGCTCGCAGAGCCAACTGGTCCAGTCATCGCCTACACATCACTGCTTAACAAAAACAACGTCTTCAAGGTCAAAAGCAAACAAAAAAACTAAACGTAATGAAACAAACCGAGGAAGTTCACTGTATGCTATTCCGACACATTGTTACCTCTCATTAATTCACGACTATTTCCAAGAATGCCAAGATGATTAAACAGACACGTCCTCCTACTGCAGATGAAAATAGATGAATCGGAATCTTCATCAGGCGCGGTTCATCCACTAGGGTAGTTGTTGGGGCGCTGTCCCACCAAGCAGCTGGAGATGAGAAATTATTTTTCGAATAAAAATACTTTTCTATAAAAAATTTG